TCCCTGACAAACCACAGGGCGTGTGAGGAGCAGAGCTGACAGCCACTATGGACTCAGGGCCACACTGGTGCTGGCAGCAGAGGAAGGTTCCGGAGATACCCTGCAGGTGAAATCAGGAGGATGTGGAGGTTGGTGAAACATGGGGGAAGCAGGAAGACTCACAAACAAGTCCCAGATCTCCCCAGGATCCCACCTGGGGGACAGGCTGAGTGTGGACATGCTGATTTGTGGAGCTAGGGACACAGCTAAGCCAACAACACAGCCCAAGTGTCTATGGGGCCAGGGCTGGGTCTCAGCATGGCCATGGCTGGCCCCAAGCCTACCCATGCACTGCGCTGCCTCCAGGGTGCAGCTCCAGGAGAGGACCCCAGAGAGCCGGACCCTCACCCAGGGGCAGACCACCCCAGCTGGCCCTGTCTTGGTTCCCTTGTTTCTGCTGCAAGGTGGGAACACTGTAATCCTGCTCTCCCTCCTGCCACCACTAGACAAGCAGTTGATAACACCAGTCTTTTCTGGCTCCTCTGAAAGTATCGCTTCCCGAGTCTGAGGACCTGGGTCATCACCCTACAAAGCACTAACTGCATGACTAAAGCCACTCGCCCCACAATGAAGATCTCTGACCATTGCCACCATGAATTGGATTAATTAGGTTCCTGCTAGCCTCACCACGCATGTACTAGGACCATGTCAGGAGGGCGGGAGAAGGGCGGGCACGATCCCAGGATCCCAGAAGGAGCAGGCTGTCTGGAAGGCTGCCTGACTCCGCCCAAGATATCGACGTGGGGCCCCACCAGCCTCACTTGGCAGCAACGCTGCATCCCATGTCTGCTGAGGACGTTCATTTCCAACACTGGGACTTCATCACAGATGCCAGTTGGGGTCAGCAGGAGCAGAGGGGACACCCACTTAAGAGAAGGGAGTGAGCAAGGCTTCAAGTGAAGCAGCGGCCATAGTGCACACAAGCCAGGCTGGGCAGGCGCCGAGCCACCACCACGGGACCCCAGGGCAGGGGCCTCGTTGCCGGCCAAGATGTGCCCCGTGCACCTGCCTGGTGCCTCTTTGCCCCATGTGGGCTTCCTGTCCCCACTGCAGGCCACCAGCTGGATGACACTTGAAAGACATCCAATCAACGGTGTCCATTATCTGAGGATCTCACCCCAAACAGATATCCTTTTCCCTCAACTTAGAATAAATGGGACGGGAAAGAACAGAGTGTGTCTAACTCTCATGCTGGGGCATCAAGAAAAGGAAAGCCCAATTTCCATTTAAGGGGTCCTCACTCTCCCAGTAAGTTTCCAGCATCACTCTGACAACCTGGAAACTATCATCCATTAAGGAGCCCTGAGTCAAGGTGACCTGAGACACCTTCCAGATCGAGTGGCCTGCCCAGCCTCGCCTGGGGCCCCACACGTGGGCCACAGCAAGCAGCCTGCAGTTCCGCTGGGAACACAGATGTTCGGCATCAAGAATGTGGTAAATAATCCACTGGTCTCCACTGACAGGTTTTTTTGTTTTGTTTTGTTTTACATTTTTCACCTAAAACATCTCGTGTCATTTTTTATTAAAATAAATTTATTTTATCTTTGGCTGTGTTGGGTCTTTGTTGCTGCACGTGGGCTTTCTCTAGTTGCAGGGAGTTGGGGCTACTCTTCATTGCAGTGTGCGGGCTTATTGCAGTGGCTTCTCTTGTTGTGGAGCACAGGCTCTAGGTGCGTGTGCTTCAGTAGTTGTGGCTCGTGGGCTCTAGAGTGCAGGCTCAGTAGTTGTGGCACATGGGCTTAACTGCTCCGTGGCATGTGGGATCTTCCCAGACCAGGGCTCGAACCCATGTCCTCTGCATTGGCAGGTGGATTCTTAACCACTGCGCCACCAGGGAAGCCCTCATGTGTCATTTCTGAGAAACCAGTTATTTTATTTTCCTTGAGTGAGCTTAAATTAATTCAAATCACATTTTTAAACACATCCAAGTGGAAGGGAGCAGAACATCTTTTCCACTGAAAAAATACAAAACTCTATTTTTGGCCATGTGTACTCAGACCAGTTTTCAAAAATCTTCCTGACCAACACATTCTAGATGTGACTAGAAATTACTGTTTAAAATTGACAGTGGAGGGGCTTCCCTGGTGGCATGGTGGTTAAGAATCTGCATGCCAATGCAGGGGACACAGGTTCGAGCCCTGGTCTGGGAAGATCCCACATGCTGCCGAGCAAGTAAGCGCGTGTACCACAACTACTGAGCCTGCGCTCTAGAGCACACGAGCACAACTACTGAAGCTCGCACGCCTAGAGCTCGTGCTCCACAACAAGAGAAGCCACTGCAGTGAGAAGCCCATGCACCACAACGAAGAGTAGCCCACACTCGCCGCAACTAAAGAAAGCCCGTGCACAGCAACAAAGACCCAACACAGCCAAAAATAAAATAAACAAATGTATTAAAAAACAAAACAAAACAAAACTGACAGTGGAGGGACTTGCCTGGTGGCACGGTGGTTAAGAATCTGCCTGCTGACGCATGGTACACAAGTTCAATCCCTGGTCTGGGAGGATTCCACATGCCACAGAGCAACTAAGCCCATGCGCCATAACTACTGAGCCTGTGCTCTAGAGCCCGTGAGCCACAACTACAGAGCCCGCGTGCCACAACCACTGAAGCCCGTGCACCCTAGAGCCCACGTGCCGCAACTGCTGAAGCCCACATGCCTAAAGCCACTGCAATGAGAAGCCCGCGCACTGCAACAAAGCGTAGCCCCTGCTCGCCACCACTAGAGAAAGCCCATAAGCAGCAACGAAGACCCAATGCAGCCAAAAATAAATTAAAAGAAAAAAGAGGGCTTCCCTGGTGGCGCAGTGGTTGAGAGTCCGCCTGCGATGCAGGGGACACGGGTTTGTGCCCCGGTCCGGGAAGATCCCACATGCCGCGCAGCGGCTGGGCCCTGTGAGCCATGGCCGCTGAGCCTGCGCGTCCGGAGCCTGTGCTCCGCAACGGGAGAGGCCACAACAGTGAGAGGCCCGCGTACCGCAAAGAAAAAAAAAGAAAAGAAAAAAACCCCAAACTGACAGTGGATACAATTTTCCCGGTTGCTGGGTGAGGTACAGTATGGCCCGAGCCCCGTGTTACAGACAGGTGCATCCTCTGAGCAGGACACTGGAGCCAGGCATTGCGCTCCCCCTCTCTGTAACTCCAGCTGTTAAAACGGGGCAAACGTACCCAGAATTCTCCCTCCTCTGACATGCGCTAAATCACACGTGCCAAGAAACAGCAGCCTTTTAGACATCACAGACAACCCCAGCCAGAGTCCTCTTGTGCTGTAAACATCCACTGACCAGAGAGACTAGAGGCGGGCAGTGAATGCCTGTGGCCGCCGAGGAGGTCAGACAGCCCGAGGTGGCAGCACCCATGAGTCCCAGGTGGGGAGGAGCAGACAGGAATGAAGGACGCTTCCCTCGCCTCACAGCTGCCTGACGGGCACGAGGCACATTCCACCTACCGGGAGCCAGCCCCTATTTCTACCCTCACTGCTTGGGCCTTCAGAAAAGAAAACGCCATAAATCAGATGTAAATATCATTTGTCTAGGAACCCACACAGCTTCTGTATGGAACTGGACACAGGATGCACCACCACAGTATGATGTTGCCATCCACTTGGTGACCCCTGCAAAACCTGGTAACCGACGCCCATCGCTGTTTCTTCTGATCCACGCAGCCCATGCCACAACACCAGGGCATTGAAGTTTCCCAAAGTCTCCGAATAAATTCTGGCTCTGACTACGAGGGTGCTGGCTGGTCAATAGTTCAATATCAACATGAAGGCCCCGGGAGCAGGGAGGGGAGCCAGGGTGACTGAGACGTCAGCCTTCTTTTCCGTAGGCTGGATGGGGAGAGGTGTCTTCAGTTCACACACTGAGCGTCACTCACACTTGCTCGGGGACCAGGGCCAGACGACAGGAGCTGGGAGGGGACCTCTGATGGCTCACAAGCTGAGTGAGTGACACTGAAGGAGTCCGGCGTCTGGGTTAAAACCCATTCATATCATGGTCCAGGACCTAGCCAGCCCCTTTGACCTGGGCCAGCAGCCAAGAATGTCAGGCCACCGAATGAACCTTTCCTCCCAGAAAACAAAGGCTCTGGTGGGAACATGGCATGAGGAGCCCCAGAGGTGCTTAACCTCCTGCTCCTCTACACAGACACCACCCCTCCTCCACTTCCTGCTCATCCACGCAGACACCACCCCCTTGTCTACTTCCTCCATGTCTACACAGACACCCGCCCCGACCCCAGAGCTTTCTCTCAAGGCTTCACCTTCTCTTACAGAGTCCTCTGTGCTTCCTCTGGTAGGTGATTCTTCCCCAGGGCCAGAGCCCAGAACTTGAAGAAGAGCGGTACCCCCTCCTCCACTGTCAAATGTGGCACAGCACTTCATGGCCCTCAGTTTTCCTCCAAGCCTATCCAAGCCACACGCTGCACTGATGCCCCCGTCCGTGTTCCCATGTGACTCTCCCTCCATGGAGCCCAACGCTGCCTCTGACCTGTCCGGCAGTGGAGCCTATTCCCCACAGCAGGGCTGGCCTGAACTGTGACCACTGGCACCAGTTCCTCTCAAACAAGGAAGGAGCAGGTGGGAGCAGGAGCAGAGGAGTAAGCCTCCAAATCAAGCCCCACCACCAGAGTGCTCCCAGCAGCCCACCCAGCAGCTTCCACCTCCATCTCATGGCCCCCCAGCACAAGAGGCTGGCAATGCTATCTCAGGTGTGGCCATGATACTCCCAACAGAATCCCAATTACGCCCAAATAAGGAAGCTCCTGGACTTTGGTTGAACGCGACCAGCAGGGTCTACCACAGCCTAATTAAAAGGGTGATATTTTCCAAATTAACGCAAGAAGTAAGCTCATTTGCTTGCTCCTGTTACCAGGAGGCCTTGTTGGGCTCTGAGGGGTAACACCCCTAGAACCCTGAGTTACCACGTGCCTGCATTATAGGTGCCCCATCCTTCCCTCTTACCAGATCTGCCCCACGTTGACCAGGGACATGTAGAGGACCCAGAGAGCAGCCATGAGAACCATATTGGCACAGCCGGAGACCAGGATGAAAGAGGAGATGCCCAGCCCGAGAAGAGCCAGCGCGTCCAGGTTGAAGTCCATGTGAGACCAGTCCAGCAGCCAGAGGACGGTGGGGGCGTAGCTCACGGTCTCCCAGCTGACTTGCCCACGGAAGTGCTGCTGCACACTCCTCAGGTACACTCTGCAGGGCAGCAGTCCCGTGTCTCCAATCAGCTGCTTGTTCTGATGGAAGGCCACCAAGAATGCCACAACTGGAAGGAAAAGAAGACAAAAGGAACATGAACAGGAACACAGCCCTCTGTAGATACTTTTCAGATGTGCAGGGCCTCGGCTAGGCAAGAAGATGAGGCAGAGTCTGACCAGTGGTTTGGAATCAAAGCGTGGACTCAAGGGTATTTCACAAAATCCTGAGGGAGATATTAGAAGATCCAACCTGGAGAAGTCACAATGTATGTGTATATGTATACATAGCTACGTGTGTTGTATCTACTTATACACAATGTATATGTGTATATAAAATAGACACACATTTATATAAAATATGTGCCTGATTACATAAAATGGTTAGTTAACTATCCCAGAATGAACTTTGCTTAAAGAAAATTTACAGTAAAACACTCATGTTAGAAAATAGAAAGGCCTCAAATCTAAACTTCTACTTTAAGAAATCAGAAAAAAGAGTAAATTATATATAAAACAAGCATCAGAAAAGACATTTTTAAAAAGAGGTGAAATAAATGAAATTGAGAACAGGGAAAAACACAGAGAAACTCAATAAAAACCAAAAGTTGGTTCTTCGATAAAATCAATATAACTGTTAGAACTCTAGTCAGATTAACCAAGGAAAGGAAAGAAGACACCAATATCAGGGATCAAAAAAGAACACTGTTACAGATCCCACAGGTGTAAAAAGATAATACAGGAATACTATACATCTCTCTAAGATCTTAAGTTTGACAACTTAGATGAAATAGAAGAATTAGTTGAAAGACGCAAACTACCAAAACTCACAAAAGAAGAAATAAAGATAATACATCACAACCAGCCAACTTCATCTCAGAAATGCAAGGCTGGTTCAACCCTCAAAAAACTATCCATGGGCGGAGATCACCTTCCTCCCCACAGATACATCAGAAATACATCTACACGTGGAACAACTCCTACAGAACACCCACTGAACGCTGGCAGAAGACCTCAGACCTCCCAAAAGGCAAGAAACTCCCCATGTACCTGGGTAGGGCAAAAGAAAAAAGAATAAACAGAAACAAAAGAATAGGGATGGGACCTGCACCAGTGGGAAGGAGGAAAGGTTTCCACACACTAGGAAGCCCCTTTGCAGGCGGAGACTGCGGGCGGCAGAGGGGGGAAGCTTCGGAGCTGTGGAGGAGAGCACAGCAACAGGGGTGCAGAGGGCAAAGCGGAGAGATTCCCGCACAGAGGATCGGTGCCGACCGGCACTCACCAGCCCAAGAGGCTTGTCTGCTCACCCGCCGGGGCGGGCAGGGGCTGGGAGCTGAGGGGATGGCAGGGAGAAGACTGTTGGCGTGAACACAGCCTGAAGGGGTTAGTGCACCACCGCTAGCCGGGAGGGAGTCCGGGGAAAAGTCTGGACCTGCCAAAGAGGCAAGAGACTTTTTCTTCCCTCTTTGTTTCCTGGCGCGCGAGGTGAGGGGATTAAGAGCGCTGCTTAAAGGAGCTCCAGAGACGGGCGCGAGCCGCGGCTAAAAGCGCGAACCCCAGAGACGGGCATGAGACGCTAAGGCTGCTGCTGCCGCCACCAAGAATCCTGTGTGCGAGCACAGGTCACTATCCACACCTCTCTTCCGGGGAGCCTGTGCAGCCCGCCACTGCCAGGGTCCCGGGATCCAGGGACAACTTCCCCGGGAGAACGGCACGCCTCAGGCTGGTGCAACGTCCTGCTGGCCTATGCCGCCGCAGGCTCGCCCCGCACTCCGTGCCCCTCCCTCCCCCGAGCCTGAGTAAGCCAAGGCTCCGGAATCAGTGGCTCCTTTAACCCCGTCCTGTCTGAGCGAAGAACAGACGCCCTCTAGCGACCTACACGCAGAGGCGGGGCCAAATCCAAAGCTGAGCCCCGGGAGCTGTGCGAACAAAGAGGAGAAAGGGAAATTTCTCCCAGCAGCCTCAGGAGCAGCGGATTAAATCTCCACAAGCAACTTGATGTACCCTGCATCGGTGGAATACCTGAATAGACAACAAATCATCCAAAATTGAGGAGGTGGACTTTGAGAGCAAGATTTATTATTTTTTCCCTTTTTTCTCTTTTTGTGAGTGTGTACATGTATGCTTCTGTGTGAGATTTTGTCTGTATAGCTTTGCTTTCACCATTTGTCCTAGGGTTCTGTCCATCCGTTCTTTTTTTTTTTTACTTAAAAAAATTTTTTTTGCTTAATAATTATTTTTTAATAACTTTATTTTATCTTACTTTATTTTATCTTCTTTCTTTTCTTTCTTCCTTCCTTTCTTCCTCTCTCTCTCTCCCTCCCTCCCTCCCTCTCTCTCTCTTTCTTTCTACTTTTTCTCCCTTCTATTCTGAGCCGTGTGGATGAAAGGCTCTTGGTGCTGCAGCCAGGAGTCAGTGCTGTGCCTCTGAGGTGGGAGAGCCAACTTCAGGACACTGGTCCACAAGAGACCTCCCAGCTCCACGTAATATCAAATGGC